GCCTGGCCGGCCCCCTCCCTGCACTGGCGGCTGGGGGAGGGGCTGCTGGAGGGGAACAGCAGCAATGCCTCCCTCAGGGTCACATCCAGCTCCACGGGGCACTGGGCCAACAGCTCCCTGAGCCTGCACGGGGCACTCAGCTCCGACCTCAGGCTGAGCTGTGAGGCCCAGAACGCCCATGGCACCCAGAGCGCCAGCGTCCTGCTGCTGCCAGGTCAGGGGGCCTGTGGGGGCCGAGGTTTAGGGAGGTGGATCTGAGGAGTGACCAAGGACAGGGCTGGGGCCATGGGCTGAGCCTGGAAGGAAGGGGTGGACAGAGGACTCCTTCTTGGGCTGTTTGGGATGAAGGGCTCCAGGTGTGTCGGGGGAGGACGGGGTCCTGGGGCTCAGAGGGCTTCCCCATGAACCCCACTTGCCTGCAGGGAAGCCAGAGCTCAGGGAAGCCCTGCTGGGGACGCTGGGGGCTGCTGGTGGGGCCGCTCTGCTCTCCCTCTGTGCCTGCCTCGTCTTCTCCTGGTGAGTGTTCTTCCTGGGCWGGATGCCAGGTGTGGAGGGAGGGTGCGTCCCCAGGACCCCACAGGCCCCACTGGAGGGTCTGACAGGCCAGTGCCTATGAGTGGCCTTGGCCAGACGATCAGAGCAGGGGTCTGTGCCCTGCCCATTATCCCAGGAGTCACCCCTGAGACATGTCCCCTGACTCCTGGGCCTTGGTAGGCTTTCTAGGCGATTTTAGCAGGGTCCACCGAAGTCCACCCCAAGGTCTGAACCACAGGTGGCTGAGTGTCCCATCTCCTCCTTCAGGTTAAAGACCCGCAGGAAGAAAGCTGGTAGCCAGACAGGAACTGCCCATCAGGACGCCCCCGTTGACCTGGGCCCTGTCTGTGGGGTGAGTGAGGGTCCCCCTGTTCTCCAGCCCCCCCTCCCCAGGTGGCCGGGCCAGAACCTCTGGACAGCCTGGGGACTCATTATGRCAAATAGGCTTTGCTCCTGGGTCCCCTCCAACACGGCCCCAGTCCCASTCTAGTGTCCTGCAACTTCCCAGCCAAGCCCCTTCCCTGCTCCCAAGGCCATGGCCACCCGGGTCTGACCACCCACTGCCTGGGCTCAGTTCAGCCCCTTCCACTCCGGCTCTTCATTTCTCTCTGATCCCCTCACCCCTTCCTTCTCCTCACTCCTCAGCAAGGCAGGGAGCCACAGAAATATCCCCCAAATGGCCACGCTCTGCTGGAAGCCTCCCGGGTTCCAAGCCCGACATCAGCTGTGAAGCAAGAGGCACAGGGGTGGGGTGGGCGACAGGAGGTCCCAGTGGCCCTGTCCCATTGGAGTCTCTCCAACAGCACCTCATCTCCAGGGCCAGGGCCTGACAGCAGGTAGCAGTGTTGCCACCAGGAATTCCACCCAGCCTTGGCATCCAAGGCTCCACTAGGGGCTGGTCCCACTGACACTCTCACCTATGTGGCTGGCCTCAGTCACTTGGTGTCTAGCTCCTCCAAAGTTCAAACTGATGCCACATTTCCCTACGTGGCCACCATAAACCACACCTTAGCATAGGTAAGCGGAGGTCAACCCGTCTGGCCTGAGGTTACCAGGGGGATGCAGATCCTTCTGTCAGGCGGGGCCTGAGGGAAGATAATCCCTCCCAGGAGCTGGGTGCAAAGAGTCCACCCCTAATCTAGGCAAGATGAGTCCCAAGGCACAGTAGCCTTTGTTTCTTGGGCTCATGGCATGCTGCCCAGGTCCCTTTGCCTGCCTGGCCTCTGACATGCTGTGTGGGCCGAGGGCATCTGGGCCTGTGCTAAGGCCTGCCCATTGGCCGTGCCCATTCTTGTGCACCTGGTCACATTTGCTGTTTGACGGTGTCTCTAAGAAGGTGACTGCTCTGTCTGCTTGTCCTGTGCAATATGCAGGGCTGCTGTGGGGGGCGCTCTGTCCCTGGGGACAGGGCGCTGGACTCAGAGAGACCTGGCCAGGAACCCTGCTGACCACTCATTAGTTGTGTTTGGAAATGGTTATTTAGCTCCCTTTTCTCCAGCTGGTAACTGGGCACATGAGTGTTCCTCGTGGATTCTGTGAAGGCTTGTGAAACGGGCACTGACCGAGCACCAGGCGCACACGATCCCACGGCACTGAGGGAACAAGACTGGGTGGACGAGAGCAGGGAGCCCAGTCCTTCTCTGTGGGGTGAACAGAGGCGACTAAATGCTCATTTAAGGGTTGGCTTGTGGGTCCTCCTGGCTCTCTCCCAGCCCCGTCATCCTCATTCCATCCCGACTCCTGCCCCACTTCAGGGTCCCAAGGATGCATCCTGGTGGGACAGCCCCTCACATGGTCCCACCCCCACTGAAGCCACACTGGCCGGGGGCGAGGAGCCAGAGCCCCAGGAGCTGCACTATGCTACCCTCAGCTTCCTGGAGCTTGAGCCTCGAGATCCCGAGGTGCACGAGGACACCAGCAAGACAGAATACTCAGAGATCAAGATCTGCAATGGCGGCCTCCAGGAGCAGCCGGATGTCCTGGGGAGAGAGACATCAGGGACAATTGCTAGATCAGCTGTTCTCCATGTGCACAGGAAGTGGAGCAGCACAGAGGATGCCCCATCCTGGTGCTGGGCAGAAGAGGAGCCCCAGTGTCAGCCCCATCACCAGTGAGGAGCCCGACTTTGAGCAAATGACTTCACTCCTCACCTTCCTCCTCTGTAAAATAGACCCCATCAACTTAACTCACAGGACTGTCCTGGGCCATCAAGAAAGAAAGGCCTCAAGCCCCCAAGGGACTGTGTCTGCTGAGAGGTCGTTGCCCAGAACCGCTCCCAGGGCAGCGCACTAGTGTGGAGCCCACCAGGTCTGTCACCCTGGCCCAGTTGGGGTGCACCCTGCAGGATGCCCCTGCTTCCCAGTGCCCCCAGAGCTCCGTCGGGCTGTCCCCTGCTCACCTGCTTCTCCCTTCTGGCCTCCAGGCATGTGAACTGCTAGGGGGACACCTTGTCCCTCCTTACCCCTCACGCCCATCTCCACAGCTGCTTCCTGCAGCCCCACCTCTCCTTGGCACAGTCACTCCTGTTCATCTGGAATAAATTGCAAGTGTTCAAACCGCTCCTCTCTTGCTGAGCTCCATTGCCCTATGGGTTGGTTCTCCCTCTCCACTTCTTCTTTTGCTGAATTGGCATATAA